AAAAAAAAAAAAAATTTGATTTTGAAGCAAAAAATGTTGGCAGAACATAAAGAAAGCTCAACAAAATAAGAACATTAGCACCAAACAAATGTAATCAAGTGTAAAAGAGTGAAGCCAGTGGTGTTTTTCAGAGTAAGTGAGAACAGGATTTACATTCAGTGAACAGACAGCTTTCCTATTTTATTAGTCACTTGATTTGGGTTAATGGAGATTTCACCTACAAACCATACATCTGCTCATCTCTACGGACATCTGCACGCTTCTGTGAAAGTCAGTGGCATTAGAAGAATGCTTTAAAAACAGACACAAAGCAACACATCCTCACTCAATTATGAGAACTGATACTAGCAAACTAAACTGAGAAACCATTCTGGTGTTTGACACAGTTGAATATTTGCTTGAGTATAATACTGAGTATATTAATTTTGTTTTGATCAATTACATTTAATTTCAGATGTTTTAATCCAAAGCTACTTACAAATGAGGAATACAAAAAGCAGAAGCAAAAATCTTAAGGAGACAATAACAGGAGAAACACTAGCAAACATCATCTAGAATAGTGCTAGTATCTAGAAGTAATAATATTACCTAGACGTATAACCATATCTAATCAAATCAAACTGTGAATGCTGTAAATGACTGAATCTCAAATAATCAGAGATATGTGTTATGGTGCTATCAAAGTAATGCTTCAGCTAACCTGTTGAAGCTGCTGTTTATACTCTTCCCGATGACTCTTCTTCATATGCCTTTCCTTGGCTTTCGAGTTGCAGAAAGTAATAAAACATTGGAAACACTGCAGGCTTTCATGCTGGTCTGAATACGGAGAGAGAGAGAGGGCGACCAATTCAAACACCAGTAAGGGAGACAATGCTAATTACAAGTTTATAATAAAATATAGTGTAACATCAAGATATAAAAAGGGCCAACCGCAGACATAAAAATCATTTAAAAGCATAACTTTAAAAAAGTTATACTTTTAAGTAATCTTACTCCCCAAGACTTAAATAATGATTATATTTTTTCCATCCCAGCTTTAAAAACAAAAAAAAACAAAACACCATTACCGTAACACTATATACAAAACTGGCATAACAGTAGTTGTATGCAACAGGTGCCCATTAGAAACATACATTTAAACCTGGAGGTCTATCCAAATCCATTCCAGCACTAAATCAGTGATTTTCCTTCATACTCACATGACTGAATGACAGGAGGTGGTGCATGTTCCTGAATGGAGGTGGTGTAGGTATCCTCTGTCTTCTCAGAGGGCAGATCAGCAGGGGCAGCAGCCTCTCCTCCGCCCATTACTATCTCCTCTATATTCAATATGTCTGAGTCCATTATGAGGAATTAAGTGTAAACCTGCTGTAAATGAGATTATAGTCAATTAATCTATGCATACAAATACGGTATAAACGTGTTAGAGTGTGCACGTATCACAAAACCTGCCATCCATTTAAAAAGTGCCACTCAAATAATTAACGCGAGAATGCAACTGAACCGTTTCTACGAGTTTTCAGACAGAAGTTTTGACACTGCTGAATAAGTCACCTGAGCCATTAAAACATACAGCATAGCTGACGTGCTTCAAGTAACATACATATACCTACCTTTGTTTCACACATTAATAACTTAATATCGCAGTAGCCTTAAATATTTGTTCATAATATAAAAATATGGTTTCATTTTAGAAAACAGTTAGGAGACCAAACGTTTCCATTCGCGCGTTTTAGAGCCGCCTACCGTTTGTTCGCATTAACTAAGCTATGCTAAGCTACATGCTACCGAGGCCTACAGTGGCCTTAAGCTTCTGCGAACCAAACCAATGCTACGTAGCTAACTAGCTAATTTCTTAATGTATTGAAATTAGTCCCACTACCAATGCATCGAAACCGCTGTAAAAATAAACGTTTGAACGGAGCTATGCGTTTATTGTTTGTTAAGCTGCTATAACGTTAGCTAGCTGCTGAGTTAGAGGTTAAACTTGATGCAGACTAACAACCAAGTTCGCTGCCCAAAAGCTCTTCAAACAAAGCCCAAAAGAGGGAAACATTTCTATTTTTAAGTTCATTCAATTTCAGTCTTAAACAATAATTTAGCAAAATTCTTACCTGAAAGAGAATAACCCTTTTGTCTGGAGGGAAAATGCATAAGCCAGAAATTCATATGAAAATAAAGGGGGCGCAAACATATAGCCAGTGACCCGCTGTTAAGACTGAAAAAAACCTGCATCACGTGCCAAGGCGTCCGCTGTACTTTCCATTGTGCTCATAGGAAAGCAGAACAGGTATCTAGACGGCCTGTTTGTCATGCAAAACAAGTTAATGGCTTCCAAAATGATTTAACATTGTTAATTGTGTAGCCCATATATAAAATAATTGCATATGCACAGAAAATTACTATAATTGTTTAGGTTAGATATAAATGCATAAAAGTGTTTATCACAAGACTGAGCTCATACTATAAAATGTAAAAGCTTTTATTTCATACAAATAGATTGAAGATGCCTTTACAATGCACAATGAGCAGGAAGTCAGGAATTATTAAATGAAAACATCACTTTCTAAAATATCCTTTTCCTTTTAGGAAATAGAAAGCAAACAATGCATGGGACATGTTCTAATGTTTGCTAGGTTTAAAATACAATACAACTTCAGTAGCAACATAAAAAGGAAATATAACAATCACAATATAACATTCATTATACATCCAAGTGGGCTTAATTGAATCATTTTTGCACAACTACAAAACCTGGACAAGAATAGATATGGATGGCTCAGGGTTTGTTTTGAGTCATGATGAGCAATAACTTAATGTTTAACCATCTTATTTAAGTAAATGAGTAAAAGTTTAAGTTAAAATGTGCACAGTCTGTATGCCTCATGAAGACCCCTGACTGTGAAACTTCAGGAAGCAGTTGTGGTTTCGAGAAATGCACAAGAACACACAACATTTGAGACACCGCACACGTGATGTTCTCTCACAGCCTCCGAAACGACACCTCCTGGCCTCCTCGCCCTCTGCCAGCTGCTCCGGCCAGTGCCCAAAGCCATCATACCGTGTATGCTCATCAGGCAAAGGGGTCTCAAAAACCTGAGAAGGTCTTGAGTTTGTATCTGGACCATGTAGTTCTGGAGCAGGAGGGCAGGGAGGTGATGAGTCTTGTACGTCAACACCACTGGAGAGAATCAATGTTTTGGCCACCTCCAAACGAAATGCCATAAGTGATAACAGATCTGTAATATGACTGTAATCTTGCTTATACTGTATCCATGCATTTACCAAAACCAGATCGATCAAGTCCCAGAGAACAGACTGCGGCCAAGCGCTGACTGCTGAGTTTGTGCAGGGAGTGCGATAAAGACTTCTCAAGTCACGGTTGAGATTCGCCGCTTTAATCGCTCTCTCGAAGCCGCTGACAAGAGATGTTGAGCGAGGTTTTTCCTTTACCACTGCTGAAAGGATGAAGCCATGATGACACCTGAAAAGCTTGAGTTTTCCATCCGAGCTCACAAACTCGTCACCTATTTGCCCTCTTGCTCCACCGACCTTGCCAGCGCTTTGCACACCAGCCTCTAAAAGATGCTCTAGCATAGAAGGTGTAGAAAGCTCTGGTTTGCAAAGAAACACCATCCCTTCGTTTCTCTCCTTACCTCTAGACACCATTTTCTCGACTACATCTTCTCTATTGGAGTCATCTACACTCAAGCTGAAGTCCACAACCAACCCTCCACCATTTATGACAACTGTGTGAAGTAAAGAATGGGTTGGGTGTCTTTGAAAAGGAAGGGGGTACTGATCTATCCCATAGTTTCCATGTCGCTTCAGTCCCCGACAACCGTCTTGAACTCTTCTAATCAATGACATTACCTTCCACAAAGGATCTGTCTTTAAGTTCGTGCAATTATGTGCCTCTTTGTTACTGTCAGCTTCATTACTCTGTCCCGGCTGGTTTCTTTTTCTTTCTTCAGAATGCTGATCAGAAGCTTCACCAGAACTGGCTAGCTTCACTTTACGAGTGAGCTCACAGAACCTTGAAGCCGACATGGCATCGGAGATCAGAGATACTTGTGTGCAGTCTTCCCAGTAGAGCTTTGTGCTTGGAAACTTTGTGGTAGAAAAACAGACAAAGAGAGATGGAGAGACATGTCTCAGTTTTCTGAGCAGTTTTTGAAAAAGTACAACAATAAGATGGTGACAATATCATCTTAAAACATACTACTGATTAGACTAAAATCAATAAATTCTATATTTTAAACAATGTAACAATTACATTTTCTAAATTAACTATATATTTTTCAATGTAAAAACAAAGTTTTTTTTCTAAACTTTTTAAACCTTGTACTAATGTTTAAACCAGGAAACCTAAATGAGCAATACATAAATAACTGTAAATGCTATAAAAGTGGTGTAGGGGCAGGTTTTCTTCAGGGCACTTGACAAATTCAAATAATAGTGATAAAAACATTCAAAACAATATAAAGTCAAACAAATTCAAATTATTTAATAAACTGTTTTAGAATTGTGCTTTATCTGACTATTTAAAATCATTTTTCCATGACAAAAAATATTAAGGACCATGGTTTGTCACCATCTTTTGGGAGTGACCCATTTTTCAAATGTTGTCATGTACTAACCTTTAGAGTTCCCATTGCAATGTGGATTCCCACATGCTGTGCAACCTCGTTTTCTGTAACAAGGTTTGGCAGTTTTGATGTTTCCCTTGTGCAAACAGCAATTTCTTTCCACGTGTCCAAACTAAAATACTGATTAAAGTAGTTAATAGGCTTCCAGTTGAGCTGCCTCTCTGGTTCTGTGTGCCTTGTTAAGGAGCCAGCCATGTTTATGAAGAATAGAGAAAAAAAACAGCTGTTAAAGACTGCTGAGTGATAGTAATTTGGCATTCCTAGTATTTTATGTAATGCCGACAATACTCACGTTTTCCCATTTGAATCACATCTCTCTCTGCCATTTTGATGTACTGTACCATTACTCTGTATTCCATGGTAACAGGACATCACAATAGTTTCAGCTTCTGGTTCAGAGTGGACATTATCGGCATCATCTGTGTCTGAATTCTCAGAAAGGAATTCTAAAAAGCCTTGAGTTCTCTGCTGTTCAGAATTAACATCACCTACAAAAACAATAAAGCACATTCTGAAACTAAGCTCACAGGACAGACCACACATTAAAGCATTAAACTTCTCATTCTTTTATTTACCCTCTTCAGATGTTGTGTATAGATGCTGAACGTCCATTTGTACTGAACCCACGCTGACTTCATCACATTCTTTAATTCCAGATGAAGCCCCTACAGGTGTGAGTTGGGAAGTTATAGGTGGAAAAGATGAATGATGACATACAAAAAAAACCACACAAATGTATTCAACATTGCAATTAACAGTGCAATGACGTCTCTCACCTGCAAGTTCCCCCAATTTCAAGCACATCCGATCCGCTTGAGGGGGCTCCACTAAATGCTCCCTCTCTTCCTCCTTAACAGGATAAAATATACATTGCTTGCTGTAGGATTGCAGGGGTACTACATGCGAGTCCGAAGATGTGCCATCTCTGTTCTTGTCTGAAAGAGGAATAGAAAAATGAGCAAAACAATTATGAAAAAGACACAACTGAGTTTGTACACAATTTTAGGTTTTGCAAGATTTTGCAGATAAGCTGCTCCAACTATTTTCCTGATACAACTATTAGAACAGAAACTAATATTTATTCAGTTAAATAATTTAGTTAAAACTGACCTTGACATGCAACACGATGATGGACTGGCTGAAGTGCCTGAAACATCTCAGTTGTAGTCAAGTGGTCTTCAGCTTTGACGAAAAACATTTGTACTCCACGCATCACACCACTCTCAGAAGAAATCAGACTGTGGTGAACCAGATTTGAAGAACGTTCTTCTATTTTCACGTCAGATGATGTGTTTGCCTTGAATGAGAACATTAGGTAACTCTGATACATAATACACATACTGTATACATTACATGACACAATAAATACTCAATACTCTCTAAAAGGGTTTAAAAGTCAATACTCAAATGTTAAAGGACAACATCTGAAGAGTCTGGAAAACATGCAAAAACACTCACCCTAGTCCGACTCTGGGTGTTTGGATTTTCCATATTTCTCTCACGAGCAGTCAAGAATTTTTCCAGTATGATTCCGGGAGAGCTGCCGTCTCGAACCAGCTCTCTAGATTCTTCAAACGAACTGTCTTCAGAGTTTACAATATCCATTACACTTGTGGTAACAGAGTCCAACTCAAAAACGACCTGTTCCTCAGGAGCCTCCTCAGAAGACGATGGTTGACAAATTTCAGAGGCATGAACTTCATTCATGTCCTTTTCTTTGTTCTTTCCCTCCGGAGTATCAAGTACACACAAATGATAGAGAACTTGGCATTCTTGTGGATCCTTATTTCCTTCCATGTCCTTTGTATTTCTGTTTTCTGTGCTAGTCCTTCTTCCAAGCGGTTTCTTGCCCCGGCTTCTTCCAACTCCTTTCTTACCTTTTGTCACAGAATTTTCTCCCATCACTCTTTTATGATCATCAACTCGACGAACAAGTACCTCCTCTTCTTCTTGCTTTATCTCTGGCTCAGTTAGAACATTTTGAGTCAATGCTTCACTGGCATCTTTTGCAGGCTCTTGAGACTGAGAACATGAATTGCTCACTTCACTTTCATGCTCTTGAGAGACACCCGAAATGTTCTGAGTGTTATGGTTGTCATCTGCATTTTTTTCTCCAACCATGACTAAATTCACCTCTAAGGGCAGTTCTTCTTTAATTTCTTCCTCTGCTGCATCTTTGAGTTCAGCGCAAGAAGTTTCTGTGATGGACCCGACCTCATGGCACTGTTCTTTTTCTGACACACTCTCACTAGTATTTTCTGTGAGCTCCTGGGGCATGATGCTTTTGCTTAAGGCTGGTGTTGAGGCCTGAGAAGGGATCTTGCAAACTTCTAAAGGATTTTGCTCAGGAGGCTGCTCAAGCCCAGAAACAATACCTTCAACATCTTTGTCTCCTTCTTGTTCCTTTCCTTCAACACCACCAGAAGCAAGTGTCAAAGAAGGAGACGGATTTAACGCTGGGAATGATAGTCTTTCTCCCACAATCTCCCCCACCTCAGTCTCCATGTCCCAATCTGCTGCAACCTGAATTTCAAAGACATTAGGTGGAATACATTTTGCATTAGGACCAGGTTTTATGACTCGTTTTTTAGCA